CTCCTTCCTAGTGGGTGGGGGGTCCACGTCGCAAGAGCCGAGCAGAGGTGGATTGTCCCTAGTCCCTAATGCCTGGGTACACCGTGTGTGCCGACGCATGCACGTTGGTCAGGAGTCCGGCCAGTAATCCTGGAGACTCTAGGCAGGGAAACCCACCGAGGGGCCACTGATGCCAGGACCCTGGGGAAAGGCACAAACTCCTTCCCCACTCCTGGGGTGTAAGGGGGCCACTTAGGAGCCGGGTTCCCAAAGCCCGGGCACAGGTGAGCTCCGGCCTACAGGTGTGGGTGAGGAGGGGCTCTCTCCGCCGAAGCAAGGACTGGGACACCTGCCCCTGGCTGCGCAGCTCTGGCCCTTTCCCCCCATGGCCCAGTGCTTTGCGGTGTGCACTTCCCTTTCATTCGGAAGCACCGAGGCTCCCATCTGCCCAATGGGGATGTCCCACTGCCCCAGGGAACTGGGATGGAGGCTGGATGACCAAGTCAGATGACAGGTTGGAGGAGGGCAGCGTTCAGGGACCAGGGCAGGCCAGTGCCTGGTGCTCTCTAGGAAGGTGCAGATCCCAGAGGTTGAGAGCTGGGCCCTGGGCCCATGGCATTACTCAGGTGAGCGTGCAGGCACCAGGACTCTGGGGTGCAGCCAGCATGCCTTGGGTCCCCCACGAGGCCAGGTCTCCAGGACAGAGGGCAAGGCCCTGGAGCAGCTGCAGATGCGGCAGTGGCCAGGTGCCAGCTGGAAAGGAGCAGGCGGGTTCAGGTTGAGGGTTTCTGTTCTTTCTTTATTGAAGGGGGGATCATTCAGTAGAGATCTCTGTGCTGGCCCCTATGTGCATAAAGTATACACACACGTACACACATGTTCTGTATGCATACAAACATGCATACAAGGCCAGAGCTCTTGTGTAGGCTAGGGAGGTCACGCTCTTTTTCCAAGAGACTGATTCCAGAGGATGGGTGGTATCCGAAGCTGGGTGGGCAGCCAGCTCTGCCTCAACGCCAGGGTGCAGCTGACAGCGCAAGGGCTCCAGGGACTGGGCTCAGACTGGGTAGACACAGCAGCCCCTGGCCTCCCATGTTGCCCTGGGCTGGTGGTCAGGCCCAGTCCTGGCCCTGAGAGGCAGGTCCTCAGGCTCCTGGGGAGGGCCTGAAGACCCTGAGTGCTTCATGGGACCACTTGTTGGGTTCTCCTCTGTGCCAGGCCTGTCAGAGGACAACCCTCCGGTCCGGGTGGTCCCCACGCCCACTCCGCTGGTGCCTCACTTCCAGGTGCTTATTCTGGACCTTCTCAAAGTGCTGCAGTAGCTCTGCGTAGTCGATGCAGGGCGAGTCGGCTTTCTGGGAGTTGGGGGCCGCCTTCATGCTGTCTCTGGGGAAAGGGAGCGAAAGAGCTCAGCATCAGGGGATCGGCACGCATGGGGGCTGCCGGAGGAGGGCAGTGAGGCTGGGAGCAGAGCCACGGGCTGGCTGGCTCTCATGCCCGGCCACCCCACTGAGCTGGGGAGCCCCGTGAGCATCCCCCTCTCCTGTGGTTGGTGGGAACAGCCAGCACTGCTGCTTGGACATCGCCCTTAGCCTGTGGCTGGTGATGGCGCCCAGAGCAGGCATTGCATCGGGAAGCATTTCCTGTTTACGAGTGGCTCCCTTTGGGGTGAAAGCCAGGGCTAGCAGCCAGCCAGGAAGCCAGCTGGGGCCTGGAACAGGGTCCGGGGAGAAGGGGAGGAGGCAGCCTAGCCCTTTCTCCGGGGCAGAGCTGGGGCTGGGGAAAACAGGGATCACTGAAGAGTCTCTGCTGGGCCCTCAACTTGGCAAGACATTTGTTTTTGAGTGTTGGGGCCCCGAGGCCTGCAGTCACTCCCTGTTCCTATAGGGTGGGGGCAAGCTAGTCTAACTCCTGGGCATACTGATGGCTCCTATACTGCTGTTGCTACCACCCTCCCCAGTTGCTGTGTACAGAGGCACAGGTTGTGCACTGCACAACTTCAGTGTGCATGATGCCTCCTATAATTGTGCGATGTAGTAGCCTTGTTGCCCCCCTCAAGCCCAGTGCTTAGCTTGCCACTGGGGACTAGATCCCTTAGGGCTGCTGTCCCATTCCTAACCACCTTCCAGCAGAGTCTCATGAAATGTTCTGCTCCTCCCTCACATTGGCCTCACTGGTTTGGAGAAGCAGATCTGTGTGGGCTGGGAAGGACTGCTTCAGTCCCTGAGGCCTGGTGGCCCTGGTAAGGGGTCTCATGAAGACTGGGCTGCTCAACTAAGCAGAGAATCCTGGGCCTTTGGAGTTCATGAAAAGACGTCAGCATGGGGGTGGGGGGGAGGTCCAGGCAGCAGCTGAGCACAGGAGCCAGACAGACCTGACCCAGACATGACATGACAACTTCCTAGCCATTTGAGTGTTGGCTCATGACTCAGTTTCTTCATCTGCAAAGAGGGGCTGCCAGGGAGCCACTCTCTGGGGTGTTTGCAGGGGATCCTCCAGATGCAATGTGTGGGAGCTCAGCCTGGTGCCCAGCTACAGCATAGGTACTCGATGGGCAGCCACTGTGGCTATAACTCTGCCCCTCTGAGGTAGGCCCAGCCAGGGCCCAGCAGATTAAGGCCTGGTGCATGCTGGCTGCCATTTTGGGGGAAACATGATGGAGCTGCCCCCAATGGAACCCTCAGCAGTGGCCTAGCCAAAGGCCAACAGTCAGAGCCCAACAGGCATCTCTGATGGTACCCCAAGCTGCAGGGCGGGACCACAGCAGGGGCACTCTCCCCACAGTCAAGATGCCATCTGGGGTCCGGAGGCGGCCTCCTGCACCGCTGCTCTGCCTGCCCACACCTGTTCCCTTCCCGCCTTCCTGTTGGAGTCACGCCCCCAGAAAACATCTTGGATAGTGTCTGCGGTTGCTGCTTTTCTGGGCTTGGAGACCCTGCCTTCGAGTGGGGCTCAGCTGCCGTTAGTTCAGCAAAGAGCAAAAGCAGCCGGGTGGGGCCCATTCCAGGGGGCCAGGCTGTGGGCAGCATTCAGGGCTCTGGCTGCTGCTTCCAGCTCTCCTGGGAATTGGGAGGGCCCTCCCTGGCATAGTAACCCTGGGGCCCAGGTGTCACTCTCAAGGGAGCAGCCTGAGCTTCTGGGGGGCCAAGAGGCACCTAGAGCCCTAACCCCAGGGTGTGGCAACATGCTCCCCTAACCCACTGAGGCCGAAGCCACAGGATGACACTGAATGGTGTCTTCCGATGCTGGGTGCCCACGGGCTTGTACTGCTCCCCAGAAGACTCTTGGCAAGGAGGGGTTTTTAAGGAGACGCTTCTAGCATTGCATGGCATAGTGGGGTGATGGGCATAGATGTGGCCAGGGTGGGGGTGGGCAGGAGTGGGTTACAACGTACTCCTGGGCCCTCAAGGTGGCAAGGAGACCTGCTCCCAGTGATGGGCAGACCCTTCCTGGCCTGAGGTCTTGGGAGCATGGAGGGGTGTATCCCCACAGGTAGAGGCACTGCCTGGGTCCCTTCTTTTCCTGCCCATCATAATGGCTTGGTGGCTGCTCAGGCCCTTCCCGTCCTCTCTCCATTTCCACCAACCCTTAGGCACTGGGGATGGGGGACACCTAGCCAGCAGTAGAACCTAGACTCCAGAGCCCAGAGTGGCCCTCTCCTGCCGCCCAACCCATGCACCTGTCACCAGCCTTTTTTTTCTTCAGAGGCTCCCTCCTCACTGAGGACACAGCCCCTGGGGAGTGGCCCAAAAGCCAGGGGGTGGGGTGGGGGGCTATGGTCTCTGGAGCCCTGCTGGCGCCTGGAGCACACAGAATGAGGGCAGGGCTGGGCTGGGCGGAGGGCGCAGAAACTCCCCCAGCTGTTCCCGGCTTGCAGGCCTGTCAGGCAACTCGATGCTGTCTGCCAGCTGCCTGTCCCTCCCAGGGCTGGGACTGTCCCCTGCCCCCTTCCCAGGGTATGAGCTGTTCCTGTGTGCCCCACCCTGCAACCTGACCCTCTCCCAGCTGTTCCCGAGGCCCCTTTCTTGCCCGCTGCACCTGTGCCTGTATCTGTGATATCTCCTTCTAGATCCTTGCAAAGAAAGGTGGGGAAACTAAGGCCCTGAAAGCTGGAAACTGCCTCACATGTCCATTTAGTCCAAACGTGCATTTACTGATGAAGAAACCAGAAGCCCAGAGAGGGCATGGGGCTTGCAAGTCCATGACAGAACTCAGACAAAATGCTAGTCCAGGCCTGCAAACTATTCATTGACTCAGAATTCTCTACCCAGAGGCCTTAATTGCCTGAGGCAAGACTTCCCTGACTCTGACCATGTGAGATTCTAAGGCAATCCTACTCAGCTTCCCTCTGCAAACTTGTACTACCTTGGCTTGGGGAGTGTGGGGAGGGTCCAACTACTCTGAGCTTCTTCTCCCCTCCCCAGACAAGGAGGTGCAGCACAAGAGGCCTAAGAGGGGCACTGACCCTTAGCAGCACAGGGCCTGCTGCCTGGCCAAGGGGCCTCCCCGCCACCCTCCCCACCCCTCCAGAGACTGGAGATCACAGGGAGGCATGCCTTTTCTGCCGTCTCCTCCCTTCCAGCTGTACCTTCCCCTCCTGAGTGCCTGCCAGAGCGACCCCAAGGGCGTTGGTAAAGCCAGTGCAGAGGCCATGTCAGCCAGGCACAGTGTGGCTCAGGGCCTCTCCCCAGTCTCAGGAGCAGGCAGCTCCGGGCAAGGGAATCCAGATGCACACCTACGTCCATGGCTGCCTCCCTGCTCCCCTGGCTCACTCCGTGCCAAATGCTGTCTCCTGGGGCTTGCCGGGGTGGCCCCCTGAGCAGCTGAGAAAGCAGCCGGCACAAGGCCTAGTCTTGCCACTCTAGAGTTGCTGCCGTCTGGGCAGAGAGGTGGGAAAGGCCAGAGCAGAGCTCTTGGCGGGGGCTACACTTGCTGGGGGTTCAGGTACCTAGCCGACCTGGGGCTGACAATCTATCAGGTGCCCCATACTCAGCCCCTGGAGGGCTGGGCAGAGTGGGAGGGGTGGTGGTAGCCTCAGCCCAGGTGTGGAGGACACACGGGCTCTGGTCAGGGGCTCCAATGCTGGGTAGGCGGTTCTCAAGGCTGCCTGCATCCATCCCAAGGACAAATGTCCGAGGCCCTTCACTGGAGCAAGGCGCTGGGCCTGCTGAGCAGCTCTAACAGCCTAGGAGGGAATTCTAGACACACAGAGCATCTGATGCAAGCTGGGTGCGCTCCATTCAGTGTAAATCTTCTCAGTGGCTCTGCTCGTTTCCATGGCGACCTGACAAGTGAAATTTTCCATCTCGAATGCCAAATGCCTGTGGATGAGGCAAAGCCTCCAAGGGTTACCAAATATAGACACGGCCCAACAGGCTCTGGGGCAGGGGCCAGCCGTGGGCTCAGGGTGGGAGCCTGGATTCTCCTGCCCAGAGGCTGCCAGGCAGGGCCTCTCAGCGAGGTATGCCTGGGACTTGTTCTTTCCATGGGCAGCCGGACCCAGGTGCTCCTGCCTCCCACCCTACTCAGGAGGGAGATGGGAAGGTCCCAGCAATGCTGGGATCTCCCAGTGTCCCAGGCTCGAGCCTCTGCCACAGACAGGGTGGGGAGGGCTGTCTGGGGTGTGTAGGGGGGTGCCCGGAATGGAGTCCTCTCTCCCTCTCTTGTCCAAATGCCACCTGGGCCCCCATCTCTAAGCTGTGGCAGGCACTCCTCCCCCTCCCTGGACTTTCTCCCCAGGGTCCTCTGTCTGGGTAGCTATGGGATGCCCTGAGTTTTTCGATTTCTTTTTTTTGAGTTGAGGTCTCACTCTGTCACCCAGGCTGGAGTACAGTGGCACACTCACGGCCACCGCAGGCTAGACCTGCTGGGTTCAAGCGATCCTTCCTCCTTAGCCTTTCAAGTAGGCCGGAACTTTAGACACATACCACCATGTCCAGCTAATTTTAAAAATTTATTGTAGAGATGCGGTCTCACCAAGTTGCCCAGGCAGGTCTTGAACCCCTGGGCTCAGGCAATCCTCTCGCCTCAGCCTCCCAGAGTGCTGGGATTACAGGCTTCAGCCACCGCACCCAGTCAGAGTTTTTAGATTTCATCTGGCTTCACTAAGCTCAAGCCTGATTGCTTGGAGAAAGAATTGTTACCACCTATCACCTTGTAAACACTCCCAGAAGCCTCCAGCCTGGTGCTCAGATGTGGACACAAGAGGCCAAAGGGTCAGTGGCTATGGGATGAACGCTGGCCACAGTGGCTAAAGGGGTGGGATGCTGAGGTGAGGGAGACCTCAGCAGCCCCTCGGACAGGTTTGTCTAGCTCTGGCCCTGCTCAGGGGCGGGAGTCCCCTTGTTGGTAGAGGCCGGTCCCCACTCGCACTCACTCGGTCTGCAGCAGCTCGGGGTTGGGCACGCACTGGAGCCGGTGCGAGAGCAGCTGGAAGGCACTGCTCTGGGGTAGCAGCATGAGCAGGCCGTAGAGGGCCTTGATCAGGTAGGGGTTGTTCTTCACGTCCAGCAGCTGTAGGCGCAGATCTGTAGCAGACATAGGGCAGAGCACAGGAGTCAGGGGCCTGGCACAGCTCAGGAACACACCCAGCCCACACCCCCTGCTTCAGCCTGGCCAGGGCCACCAGGACCTGGTGCCATGGCACCCACAGATTGAGGACCCAGTGGAGTGGGGCCAACCAGGCAGCTGTGACTTGGAGCAAGGCAGAGGCTTCTTCCTGGCCAGCCAAGCCAGCCCTCTCCTCTCCCAGAAGCATCTTAGCTGTTTCCATGATCTCATCCTTCTACCTACCCACCTGCCCATCTGTCTGATCTTTCCAGCAGTCACCTCAGGCTGACGACCCCCACTGCCTGGCCCACTCCCCGCCCCCCCGCTCAGCTGCCTCCCTGGTAACAAGAGGGCTCGGGGCTTGTAGTATAACAGATTTCCCAGTCGACTCTGCACGTGCCAGCACAAGAGAGCTATAAATAGGGTGTGCTGGAGAGAAAGACGGTGGATTAGGACAGTTTTAAGGGAGGGCAGCATGGAAAAATGCTTTTGTGTGTAGCGAGACACACACCAAAGCCCAGGAGTGTCTGGGAGGTGCTTCTGGATCTCTAGCTCTGATGCCAGCCCTGCCACCGGGGGGAAGGGACGCACCCTGGAAGCTGCCCAGCACCCTTTCCAGCACAAGCTGCACCAGTTCCACTGGTGCTGGCTCTGCCATGAGGCAGTCCCAGCTTCCCCGAGGCCCACGGAGGAGACTGGACTCAAAATGGGTTCTTGCTTCTTTCTTCTAAGCCTCTCCAGAAGAACTGGCTTCTACTTTCTTGTGTCCCTATGCCCAGCCCAGGTACCCTTTGTGGGGGACGAGCCACACGCTTCTGGAGAGTGGTCATGTTTTCCATCAGTAGCAGTGCAAAGCGGTCTGGGTGACACTGGGAGCCTGCACAGGCAGGCCTTAAGGCCACAGTGCTGGTGAGCCAGGGAACAGGGAAATGAGGGTCTCCCGAGACATTCCTCCCCACCCCAGTGGAGACCTGCTCTGTTGTCCCCAGGCCAGGCTGCCCTAGCAAAAGTGTGAGATTGTTTTGAGTCCTTTCTCTCCTTTGGGCCTTGGGGAAGTTGGGGCTGCCTGTGGCCAAGCCAGCCACCACGGGGATCCAGGCAACTCCAGTGGGGATGGGGACTGGGCAGGGACCAGGGGTCTGTCTTTCCTGTAGTCACCCTTCCCCACAGAGCCTCAGGCCTGAGAAGAAGTCCCCCAGGGTCATTCTGGATCTGACCTCAGGTGGGTGAGGGGCACCTGCCTTCCCTGGAGGTCCTCAGGTTAGTGAGACAGGCTTTATTGTTCCTCTGTCTCCAGGGCATCAGTCCCTGTGGCACCCTGCTCCCTGCAGAAGTTGGCCTTTTGAATGGGAGTTAGAGGAGGGGAGGGGGTCCCTCAGCCCCTGCATTTACTTTAGGATTTGGGGTGAGGGCTGATGGGCTTAGGCTGGGTGGGTCAGAGATGCTGCCAGAGAGTGGGAGGTCCAGGTGGCCACCTTGGCAGGGAAGGTGGCCACTGGCAGGGCTGCCCCCCAGCACACCCTAACACACGAACATCAGTTGGAGTGTGCCTGCCTTGGGGAACAGGCGCTGCGAGTTGCAGCACCAAGAGCCAAGCTTGCCCCAGCCAGCTGCCACTTTTGCACGTTCAGCCTGGGTGTTACTAATCAGGCAGCTCCTGCCCACCAGCTCCCAGCAATGCCAACTCGTCTCTCAGAGAGGTGTGGGCACGGCTCCTGGGCAAGCAGGAGCACCTGCAAGGGGCCCAGGGAGTCCCACAACTTCAGAGAGCCAGGGCAGAGGGTAGCAGGGTGGAAGGGATAGCTGGGGACAGCCCTGGGGCAGGGCCTGGTATTAGTCTTCAGGTGGATTCTGCTGTCAGCACTGGCTTGTGTCTGCTGGATCCAAATTGAGGGACATAGGCAGGACACGAGTTCTGATGCCACATGCCCCAGTCCTGTTCCAGCTGGTCTCTCAGTCCTGACTATTGTCCCAGTCTCACAGTCTTGACGTTCTGGAAGGATCCCTGGGGGTGACTGCCCTCCCTTAGCCAAGCTCTGATCCTGAGCGTGGTTCCACCCCACCTCACTGTAGGCCGGCCACAGGCTCACTGCAGGGCCCAAGGCCAGGACTAACTAAAGTGAGGCTGGACATAGACTCTTACATGTGAAGATGGGGCACTCGATCAGCTGCACCAGCTTGTCCACCTCTGTGAGGAAGTCCACGGTGACCTCCAGGTCCCCGCTGGATAGGCAGTCAAGGAAAGTCTGGTCACCGGGCTGGCACAGCTGCAGCTGCAGACTTGGGGGTCAGGTTGGCCGTACCTCACTAGTGGGTGGCAGAGACTGGATTCCAGGAGCCCGGCCTGGTGGCTCGGAGCACCATGCATTGTCCCCACCTGCTTCCTGTGCACAGAGCCTGGTTCTTGCTAAGCAGGATTTGTGTACAAAGGAAGTGAGTCTATTCATCTTGCCTTTCTGCCACTCTAAATGGAACCCCCCGCATGAGTGCTCCGGGTTCCACTTCAGCAGCTGTCTGCTCTGCACCTTCCTGGAATTGGAGAATCTCTTATCAAAGCTCTGCAGCCTGCTTGGCAGGGCTGGGCAGGAAAGGCCCCTGCTCCTGCCTAGGTGGATGGCTTGCCCAGTCTCCGGGTCGCACAAGTGGCTGAGAGGAGCAAATCCAGGCTGTGGAGGGAGAGCAGGCACCTGGAGGGGAGCCAGGTGGGACCACCTCCTGGCCCTCTTTCCTTTCCTCCAACCTCTGGCCTGTCAGGGATGGAGGCCAATTTTGCCCCCTGAATAGCACTCCGATCTAGTATCACACATCAGGCAACCACAGATGAGGAATACATCGGACCCTGGATGCCTTTTGGGAGGCAGGTGCTGAGGTGTGTGGCTCTATCCCTTCTGAGGCCTCCTGTTCAAGCCTGGTCTCCCTACCGCATCACTGGTAAGCTGCCAGGCCCTGGCTTGGTGACCCCAAAAACCCACTCTTGCATGTGAGCCTGCAGTCCATCCCCGTCCCCAGTTCTGGGCCTTCTTCTCCACCCTCACTCCACACTGGGCCTGACAAGAACTGTGATGGCAGAGAACACCCAGCCTCTTCCACAGGGAAGGGGTTGGGCTTTGCCTTTACCACAGGGTTTCTCCAGGGCCAGCTCCCCTCCAGAGGTTTCTGGGTGGTTCCCATTTGGTGCCAACAGTGCTCTCCCAAATACATCTCTCAAGTGCCCTGCCAGGTGGCAAAGGGGCACCTGGTTCCCTCCTGCCCCTCCTGCAGCCCGACCTGAATGCCAGTGAGAGGAAGGATACAACTTCTGGATGAGGTCATAGGCATGCTGGTAGTTCTGGGTAAGGAAGCAGAGGGACACTGTGGTGACTGGATTGTGGCACCAGGAGCGATACAGGCAGCAGAACAGGTTCTGGCTCTCCTAAGGGGGAAGAGGTGGGAGCAGTTAGGAGACCCCCATTCCCTCCCATTTTGTCCACATGGGAACCCGCAGAAGGAAGGGCCACGGGTCCGAACCAGGGCCCTTGGAGCAGCCAGCTCAGCACCCCCTCCATTTGGCAGCCCAGCTGGGAATGAGTTGTCACAAAGGAAACCCTGACAGTTCCTCTTCAGACCCTGTCATTACCTCTCAGTCCCCCAGAGCTGTGTGGTGGCAGTGAGGGTCTGGTCAGGAGTAAGCCTCTCCTTTGTGCTGGCATTTCTGCCCTCGACAAAATCACACTAATTGTTCTCCCCAGAACTCTGTGGTCCCCGAGCCCTGGGGGGCTGGGAGGGTAAGGGGGTTTCGAGAAGGGCCAGGATCTTCTGGGTGGTATCCTGCTCTGTCCTCAAATGCCATCTCCTCCCCCCACCACAGGCTGCCTTGTATGTTCAGAACCCAGCCCAGGAGCTGAGCCCACACTTGGGGGAGCCCCTACCCCTGAGGAAAATTCTTAAGGCCTCTGCAAATGTCTGGAAGGAACCACAGGAGGAAGGCAAGGCTGTGGCCTGGATCATTCTGAGCCACTTGGCCCCAAACGCCCTCAGACATGGGCTTGGATGGCTTTGAGATTCCCATGAAGGGGTGGAGAACAGGGTCTACAGGGTCTGAGCTGGGCAGGGGCATGGGGCATCAAACCCCTGGAGCCTGTGTTCAGGATGGCGCCTGTCCCTGTAGACCCTCTGCAGCCTACCACTCTCAGCCAGACCTGTGTCTCTCCTCATGTCTTCTTGGTGAGTCCTTACCTAAAGCCTGGGGCAGGCAGCAATGTGACTCCTTGGTTTATGAAAGTGCCTTATGAGTCAGACATGTCTAGCTGAGGGAGGAAAAGGGCCAGGCCAAGAGGAAGGACGCAAGGAGAGCAAATAATCCTACTCCCTTGCAAGGTCAGGACCCAGAGGCCTGACCCAGCAAGGGTGGCAATGCCCAGCAGGGAAGGCCCATAGCCACAGAGCTTCTGTTTTTGAGGGAGCAGTGCCTGGGGTGTCAACGAGTAGAAAAGGCAGGGCTGTTGGGGTGGGTCAGGGAGGACACGTGGACCCTGAGTAGATCACAGGGCCTTCTGCAGGCAGAGACCTCAGCAGCAGTGACTCACTGCGTGGTCAGGCTCGCAGGCAGCCGTTCATCCAGGGGAGCCACATCTCACATGGGGCAAGGGGAAGTCTTGATTTCATACCCTCCCCTTCCCTCGAACCTGCTGGGGCCAGCTGAGGGGTGAGCTGGCACATCGTGTGTCCCTTGGCACGCTGAGGCAAACCTGGGCTAGAGCCCATGGACATGGCGTACCAGAGTCTTTAGGTCCTTGAGCTGGTTCCTCAGCTGGAAGAGTTCTGTGGAGGTGAGCAGGATGGTGTTGAGGGCATGGACCATGGTCGAAGCGAACTTGAGGTCCTCCTCCCGGAGCAGGATGTCTGCCATCGAGTGGAAGATGTTCTCTGCATTCAGCAGGAGGCAGAGCTGCCTGGAGGGCAGGCAGACAGGGGTTACAGTGCAGGCCACCACGGACGCCTCTGTGCCTCAACTCAGAAACCTCCTCCTGGCTCTACAGCATCCTGGGGGAAGGCTGCTTTCTCCTGGGGCCAGTTTGGAACCCAACTCTGAAGCCTGTCAGGGGGACGCTGGCCTGGCTCTAGCTTCCCAACACTGCCTACCCTGGCCCTGCAATTCCAGGGCTCCCCAGGCTAGATGGGCCCCCAGTCACTTTACTGAGTTCCCACAGGCATGAGCAACACCCGGGCCAAGGTCCTCTGCCTCCTGCTGGGCCTTATCCTCTTGATGGAGCTCACCTTTACCTGACCAGTTCTCCACGTAGTGGGCATCTGCTTAACTGTCCCCCTCCCTCCTTGTAAAGCTCCTGAGACCAGGGATTTATGTTGTTCCCACTGCATTCCCTCCTGACTGGAGTGACACTTGCAAATGGCAAGAGCTCAGGAGATACTGAAATGGATCTTTATGATGGACAACCCTGAGTTTTTTCTTCACTGTAAAGAGGATGAAACTCTGGGGTAGGATGAAGCAACTTGACCAAGGCTTCCAGAGCCTGGTTCACTGGCCCTGGGCCACAGTTCCTCTCCTGTCTTTAGTAATAGTTTTGGGAAGTAAGGAATAGACTTTGTGGAAATGAGACTCCATGTTATATAAAGACAAAACAGGGAACTCAGGGAATGAAGACATGCAGTTTGCCAGGGCCCCTGGAACCAGGCTCAGAGGAAGCCTGTTTGACTTTCCACTGCTCTCAGAGGCTTGGCATCAGGGGAAGAATTCCTCAAAGGCTACCTGGGTAATGTCTTCCCAGCATGGGTGGGGTATGACTTCCTGGTGGGAGCCCCAGTGATCCAGAAACTTCCTGCGAACTGAGAAGGAAGCAGGTATGGGCCAGGAAGGGGTCAGTGGTGGCACACGGCACAGCACTTCCTGATGGCTGGGGCTGAGGTCAACATGGCCCCTACCCTCATGACCTCCTGTGTGGGGCTGATGGCTGTCTGCTTGACTCCTCGTCCCTGCTCTAGGGAGGCATCACTGCTGACTTGACAAGGTGTCTTAAGTCTCAACATCTCATGTGCCTAATGACACAAGCCCCATTTTGAGGCAGCATGCATAAAACAAGTCCCTCCTTCCCAGGTCATTGAACTTGTCCTACACTCAGTGTGCTCAGGGCTAGTTTCTTCCTTGTCTCTGAATACCAGCCATGGCTTTGGGGCCAGGCTGGAATAGATTCCTCCCCACCCCTGGACCCGGAAAAATCCCAGAGCATTTGGTAATGGGGAGGCCAAACCACGAAGCGCAAACAGAGGGCAGGCCGTCTCCAGCCTAGCCCCAGCTGGAACCAGCAGGCTTGGGCTAGAAACCACAAGAGAAATCTAAACAAGGAGACAGAGTAGGGGGAGGGCAGTGGGCATTTGTGCAAGGGGCCACTTCATCTCTGCCCCACACACCATTAGGACCCTGCAATGCCTGGTGGGTTCCTCAAGCTCAGAGCCTGGAGCTCCCAACCACCGGTTATGTGATCTCCATGTCTCTGCACACCAATTTCTTCACCTTAACTGGGGCAATACCTGCCATAAGGGGGACTACGCAGAAGGCAGTCGTGAAGACTAGATACAAGTCACATGACGTGCCCATGTTTGGTGCCTGGTACCACCAGGGCCGGAACCCTCCTGGGGAGCCGACAGCCGGCTGGCAGGGGGAAGCCTGGCCAGGCAGTCCCAAGCTGCAGCCAGGAGGTAGTGACCCTGTGCAGGACCCAGACAGTGCTTCCCAGCCTCTCCCAGGCCTCCCACCCCAAAGAGGCCCTGTCTCCAGGGCTGTGGGACAGAAATGCTCCAGAAGGGCAGCAAAGGAGGAAGGGGAGCGTCTGACAAATGGTCACAAATGCCCGTCGCCAGCAGCTGCTGCCGTCTCCATGACAGAGGCCAGCAGCTGAGCTGCTGCCAGGCCACGCTCTCCAGGGATCACAGGCCAGCCCAGCGGGACCTACAGCAGCAGAAGGCAGGATGGCACTCATATGAGGATGGCTGGGGCGGTGTGGAAGGATAGGCAAGGGGTGGGTGAGAAGAGTGGGCGTCAAGCCCTCCTGGTGGCCCAGAAAACCCTGGGAATGCTGACAGAGATTCAGAAGGTCAGGAATGGCAGTTTTCTAGAAACTTCTCTTGTCACTAGTGACCCTACCCTCTCCTGGTTTTCCTCCCACCTCAGTGTCTGTGCCTCCTGCCCTAACGCTGGGGTGGTGCTTCTGTTCTTCTCTCTCTAGTCTCTCTTGGTGGTATCCTCTGGTCCCATGGGTGTGTCCAAAAAGCCCGTGTCTAGATCAGTGACTCCTATGTATCTGCCCTGGGCCCCACTGGGCTCCAGATGGGATAGCGGCTTGCCTGGTAGACAACTCTACTTGGCAGCTTCACAGGCATCTCAAACTTTGCAGGGCCACAACCCAACTCTTGGTGTTTCTGTAGACTTGCCAGCCTGCTTCCTCATCTCAGTTATCAGCATCATGGCCCACCCAGGCTGTTCAAGCCCAAAACACAAGGCATCCTTGATCCCAAGCCCCTCCATCAGGTCCACTGGCCTAATGGCTTCCTATGAGATCTAATAGAAAGCCCAGTTCCCCACTGAGGCCTACAAGATCTTCCATCTTCTGGTTGGTTCCTCTCTAGCCTAGCCTCTCACTATTCCTCCTTCACTCATGACATTATCTCTGTTCCTGAGCATGGTCTCAGAGGCTTTGCCTGTCCTGCCTTGGCCTGGCCAGCTCTGCCTCCAGACATCAAGGCCTCAGCTCCAATCTCGTGTCCTGGAGAGGCCTTGGTCTGAAGTGTCCTCTCTTCCCACCAGCCCCTTCTGAGAGAAAGCCAATTTCTTTTAGCCTTCATCCCTACCTGAAATCAGCCTGTTAATGTGCTTGTTTCCTGGGTTCCTGTCCATCTCCCCCATCAGACTGTAAACAAACAGCAAGGGGCAGGGCCTTCTCTGTGACTCTCGTATCCTTTGGACCAAGAGGGCCTAGCACACGGTAGCTGCTCAGCAATGATTGCTGGCCGTTACTGCCTGAAGGATCAGAGGCGTCCCACACAGGCCTAGACAAGCTGACCCCCACTCCAGCACATCCATCCCTGCTTATCCCTAGCAGGATCCTCCGTACTGTGCATGCTCTGGTCTGCAGAAAGCAGTGCCCTGAAGTTACCTCTTTACCCTTATCACCCAGGCCTGGCTGCCCTCCTCAGACCTCCCTTGCTCCAGCTCATCCCAGGAGACCCAGAGCACATGCTTCCATGACAGCTGAAGGATCAGCAACAACACACCGCACCAAGCTTCCTCCTGGGGAATCTCCCCCTGAGCAACACTAATTAAAGCACCACAGGGGAGAAGCCAGGAGCAGGCACCCACAGAAAGCAGCAGTTAGGGCTCCCCATCATGCTCTGGATGCTCGCTGGGCAGAGGCAGGAGGGGCTGCTCTGGGGCCTGCAGCTCACAGGGCTCCACCAAGGATGGCTCCCGCCCTGTGGCTGGGGCTGCAGCAGGGGAGGGAAGTGGGGGGGACTGCACCCCGCCTCACCCCAAGGACACTCTACAACAGTGGCTGTGTTAGCTAACTTGTGGGGTCCTTCCTAGATGCCAGGCTCCAGGTTGAGGGTGTGACACCCATCTGCTTGGGCCCAGTGAGGGGTTCACAGTGCTTACTGGCACTGTCAAGGCCCTGTCCTGGGCATCTGCGGCGGAGGGGAAGTCAAGTCAGGGTATATCAGCTGGGTCAGACCTCAGGGAGCTCTGAACCAGTCAGGGTGCCAATACCTCCTCTTGAGTCAAAAAGGTGGGCAGGGAGGAAGGAGGGCCCGCTTTTCACTTCAATCCCACATCCACGACAGGATCTCCACAGGCGGCCTCAGGGTTACCATGTGCTTGGCACTGGGCTCTGAGCTCCTCCTGTGGCCTCTTGCTGAGTCCTCACACAACCTGGGCAGGGCATCCAGTGATCATCCCCACTGCAGAGAAGAGGAATCTGAGGTTCAGAGAGGACCAGGAATAGAGGATTCAGACCCAGAAGAGTTGACTTCCAGAGGCTGAGTTCTTCCTCACCACTTTCCTTGGTGCCATTCTGAGTGGGCACCAGGGACTGTCCCCACCCGGTGGAGGCCTGGCAGATGGCTGCCTGGCAGGGCTGCTGTGTCATCACTTCTCTGTTGAGCCCCAGCCCTGCTGGAGCTGCCTGCCTGGCTCTCAAGCATAGCGTCAATAATGGAACACAGCTTGCAAGCATTCAACATTCGCCCGTATTTTCTAACACCCATGTTAAAGTGCTGTTCACTAGGAGACAACGGCCTGGATGGGGCTTGGGGACAAGGCAGAGACGTGGGGTGGGAGAGAACCTGAAGAGAGTCTGGGAGGGAATGGGACCTCTTCCTGGAGCCCACCTCGGGGCTGGAGGAGGGTGGGGTCCACACAAGTGTGCTGAGTCAGCAAGAGGGCCTCTGGTGTGTCGCCATGACTCAAGAGCAGGAGGGAAGGAAGTGGCCAGAAGAGGGGGAACACATCGTCCAGGGAGGACTTTGCACTCGGTGGCAGTGGAGCTCTTGCTCCAGCTGGGGCTGTGCTGCCGGCCCTGCCCCACACACATAGCCCGGAGACCCCATGGATGAGGCTCTGCTTCTCCCTTTCAGGCCTCCCGCTGTTGCCTGGTAAGCTGCTCCCTCCTTCCAGGTCTGGTTTTGTGCTGGGGCAGGACCAGCTTCCCTTTGGTTCCTCTGTCATATACCAGGAGCTCTCATAAGTGAGCAACCTGCCCTTAGCTGGTTCTAAACCCGAGAGAGGGGCTGTCACTTTCCCTTAGGAACTGAGACGACACTGCCTTGCCCGTGAAGATTCCCTTCTTTGGGACAGCCTCCAAGGCCAAGGCCCACGCTGGGGCCAGAGAAGGAAACACACGGCTCTGCTTACCCCTTGGAGACTCTCCACAGCTCTGGTGTGGGC